ACCATCCCCCCTCGGGAGTGATTTCTCGCTTTCTGTCTCTATGTCTCTGTCTGTCTGGCGAGCGCACGCGCCCTACAGTGAAAATCTCTCCCCCCCCAAAAAAAAAGTTCAATAAAAAATAACCCTTAGAAAAAGAGAATCTGGCATTACATTTTGAGAAACCTTGATACAGGAAAAGATGCAATTAATTGTAATGTAATCTGATACATTTTATAACAACCATGTAACAGAAGCTGATGCCATTTGTGCTGTTCCAGGAGAAGGAATAGAATTTTTTTTCAGGAGCTAGATGATACCAATAAAACACACACATAAAATTAAAAAAAAAAGTTATTATTATTTTAAAATAATTATTTATTCTTTTTCTTTTTAATTTGACCAGAGAGAGACAGAGAGAGGGAAAGTGAGAAAGCAAGCCATCAGGTCCAGGACCTGAATGGCCGCCAACCATGTGGGTATCCAGCACCCCAACCACCATGCCACCTTCTGGCCCCTATTAATATTATTTTTAATTTGACCACTGAGAGACAAAGAGAAAGTGAGAATGCAAGCCATCAGGTCCAGGACTGGAATTACAATTGGCCACGTGAGAATCCAGCACCTTAACCATGGCCACTAGCTGCCCCCACCTCCCCACCGCCCCAAATTTTAATTGACAGACACAAGAAATATTTTGTAAGAGTTATTTTATTTAAATTTATTTGTTTGTTTTAATTTGACCAGAGAGGGACCGAGAGAGAGAAGAAAAGTGAGAAAGCAAGCTGCCAGTTCCAGGCCACGTGGGAGTCCAGCACCCTTAACTACTGGCACCATCTCCCAGCCCCCCAGCAATTTTTTTTTTTTTGAGAGATTTTTGCTATGGGGCACATTCACTCCCAGGAGAGACAGAAAGAAACAGAGAGACATAAAGGGAGAACTCACCCCCTAGAAGGGATGGCCATGCCAGGATCCCTTCTCCATTCTCCACTTGGGATTTGGGCCAACACACACGCCAAAGCAGCAGAGGCCTCAGATCCTAACAAAGAGTTAAAATCTTACAGGGTTTTATATATCAGAACATATAATGTTATACATACACCCAGAATCTTATACATTAGAACATATAATGAAGTGCTGAATTGCAGATAAGGAAGTGACACATTTAGGATACAAGTGCTAAAGGCAATGATCTCATCAAGGCATTGACAAGCCAAGGCAACCTCACCAAAACAAGGATAAAGGACAGGCAAGGAGGCCAGAAGTTCAGGTACCTCGGGTAAAGTCTCCTCTATCCTTTATGATTGCAAAAAGCAGTTACTGGCCTATCTTGCTTTATATGCTTACGTGGTACTTACAATCCAGCTGGGGAAAAGGAAGTGGTTTATAGTACTTTACTGAGAGGTTCTCCAGTGCACTTTAGCCTCAAAGACAAACTCTTGAAAGGTAACCAGCTGTTATTTCAGTGGTCAGCGCCTTTGTGGAAACTTAATAAAATGGCGTTTGCTGGAGCCTCACAAAGGCCTTGAATGAATATTGTTCAGCTCAGTCTTAACTGTTTTTGTGTGCGCTGTCGGCAGATCTTGTACCATCTGCACTCACAGGACTCAAGTCCTACATTGAGACGCATCCGGCCGCCTGTCCACCCGCCGGGGGAGGGGACGAGACTCGAATTACTTTACAGGGTCGATTAAATGAAAACTCAGATGACCCCAAAGGTGAGGCAGAAATGCATGCTGAATATTTTGGCTATGACACTTGTTGAACTGTAGGGCTGGGCGGAAACGTACTACCTAACCACTGTAAAGACGGTCCCCGAGTAGGGCCAACATGGCGACGAACTCCTCTTGGCACGGCCCTGTTCCATCCCTCATGATGGACGGCTCTGGGAAAGCCCATTGGCCTATTTGGAGGCGGTGCCAAGATGATTTCGCTCCCTCATTGGGTTAAATAATTGAGAGAGACGCCACTTATCCTCTGCCCACTCCAAGTTCACGCCCCCTGAGCTTATTAGGAGTTTAATTGGCTATTACTTCACGTCAATATGCGTCCGGGCTCATCACTTCTTAGTGTTAATCCAATCATAATTTTTCTGGCTGCCCGCCTGATTTCTGATTGGTTTTGATCAGCTTTATCCTATCTCATCCTTGCCTACTTTTTACTTCTCCTCCCACCAGGACTTTGCCCAGGCACGTCCACGATTCTCGTTGGTCGTTATTCTGTCATTTCTATCAAAGCTCTGCCTATCCCTACCTTCCAGGGAGCCCGCCTGGAGGTTCACTGGTTTTAGCTCAAGTCTATCATTTCCAGCTCCCGCCTATTTTCACTTCCTGCATATTTCATTGGCCTTTAAAACTTAGAGGGCGGTCTTCTTGGGCGGATACCGGGCACGCAACTTTGTCTTACACGCCTTACAGAACAAACGAGTCTTGTTATTGGATAACTTATCCGTCTTTCTCCTCCAAATCCCTCCTTTCCCCCTCCCTCATTGGGCGGGGCAGCAGTAAAGGGGAGGGGCCTAGGCCGGGCTTGTGGCGCGCTGCTCCCTCCTCCTTACCCCCCCCTCCCTGTCCGGTCCGGGTTCGCTTGCCTCGTCAGCGTCCGCGTTTTTCCCGGCCCCCCCCCGCCCCCCCCGGCCAGGACCCCCCCGCG